TTGTTAATTATAAAAAAAATTATTTAAGAACAATATTTTGACAAAAAATGAACATTACCAATTTTCAAAATATTCTCCTTTTGTGAAAAATTCTTCTATTATAATAATATTTTGCCTGTATATAGCTCAGACCTCTGTACAGAGGTTCAACTAGAATTTTGGAAATATATAACTTAGAAGTGGGTTTATCCATGTTTTACGACAACAGAGGGGAGAAATTTTAAGAAAAAAACGCCGATAATTATTTCAATGGGTTGTAACTCTGAAAATAATGTGATTTTTTTTTCAAAAGAAATAGTCCAGATTCTCTGGAGAACTCTTTACTTTATATAAGCAAAATATTATTATTTTAGAAGCATTTTTTATAAAAGGAGAACATTTTGAAAAAAAGGTAATTCTTAGTTAATTTGTTTCCCAAAATATTGTATTTAAATAAGTTTTTTTTGTCAAAATGACCTTAAAACAATTTTATACATGTATTCTAATCTCAGTGGCACTAAATATCATGAAAATTATCCATTTATACGCATTTTTAAAAGTACGGTTCCAAACGTAGTCGGATACCTTAATCCGGGCGACTCGGAACCCTAATTTGGACAATTTGACAAAGTAATACTTATGTTATATAGTGTCTGACGGAGTGCAAATGATCAGGATTCTCTGAATCGGTAGACTACATTTTCATGAATAATTTGTGAAACTCTTAAGTATATAGAAAACTGTTCTCTTTAAAACATAATTTCGATTTATAATTAATGTAATTTGGTTTTATACATGGCATTTACTAGCACAACGAACGCAGAAACTAATTGCACAACACCCAAAAGTATTCGAAAATTATTTAGATGTTTTATGGAGATTTTTGCACTCCTATTATACTTTAGAACTAAATGAAATGAATGAAAATTAGGAGGAAAATAAGAATGTTTTTTTCTTACTTTATTTTATTTAGAGCTTCACAAGAATCTTGTAATGCTTAGCAGTGTGAATACTGTTACTTAATCAAAGAAGTGCAGTCAGAAAAGTCAGAGAAAGAAAAGATCTGACATCCCATAATCAGACACCTCTAAGCGAATAATAGATCAGAGAATAAAGAAGGAATGTAATTATTTAGAGCAAGAAGCTGCGGGTGTTATGTAATCATTTATTTCTTTTGGTCATTTTCGTACCAAGAGAAGTTGAATGGCTAAGAAGAAAGCCAAAAGGTTATTTATTGTATAAAAAGTATTTGCCTTAATCCAAAAATAATGCCCGTAATATGAATATTGATCTTTCATGAATTTGAGCCATGCTTATTTTGCTTTTAGATTGCAGTTTCAAAAGGAATAAAATATATTAATAATTATTCGAAAATTGAATGAAATGTATAGATTTTTTTCTTACAAATCTACTTGCTTATGAGATCTTTCAGAAGTATTAACTGGAAATTAATACCAGAATTAATTAGACCAGAGTAAAGGCGCAAGGCAAGAATTTCAACACTTTGATTATTATTAGATTGATCAAAATACCCATGTTATTTTTTTCGTGTGAATTGATGCCATGTGATCAACAATTATTTCATAACCCCATTTCGCACACATATTTGAAGAAAACCGGCAAAAAGAAAATCCCTTTTTTATTTTAGAAAATATGTTTAAAAATCTTGTTTTGGCAGAAAATTTTTAAAAAAATAGAAAATCATTCAAAATATTTACTTTAATTTTGGGTTTTAATCCAGAATGTAGATAAGAGCCAAATACTGCAATCTTGCAAGTATATCTAGTTTTATTATGTTTTTTTTTCCAATTCCTGTATTAAAACCAATTTTATCAGTAAAAATTTATACTTTTTTCAACAGAAATAATAATAGTAGTAGTATTTATTATTGTAAAACAGAAATGTTCAAAATTATCTTTTGTGTGATTTATTTAAGAGGAGAAACGCAGCACATAACCCAGAATTGGAATTATTACTGATATAAGGATTCTGTTTTCTTTTCCTTTTTCCTTTAGCTCTTTTTTAGCACAAAACACAGCGCAGTATCATGGGGGAGCTTCTATTTTTCGGTTGGTGGAAAGAAACTGGTAAAATGACATTGCATTAGTCGTAGAATTCTAGAAGATATTAGTCTACACCTATTTTTTATTTTTGTATAACTGTGATATTTTTATACCGGTCTTCCTACTAATTTGCTTCTGAAATCTAAATTTATTTTTCAACTCCATTTCTTTACATAAAGCATATGCGTTTCAAATGCCGATGTCCAATATAAAAAATTGTAAAGTATTAGAAACAACGGCCTTCATTTAAACACGAAATCACAACGACGAATCACAGTCAGTCTCACGAGTTCAGACAGCGCTCGTTTATGTTCGAGTGTGAAAATTACAGCAGTGTAAAATACGAATTATCTTCATTGTGCACAGTATTTTGTTTGTCTAGCGTGCTCAAATTAAACCGAGCGCACACGTTAAGGTGTTCATCATTCATTTTTTTTTATAAACTTGATTGTTTGTTTATCAATGTCACTCTTCAAAGCGTCACGAGGACACATGGAGAAAAATCCTGTAACTTTGGTCCTGTAACGATGACGGCAAGTTAGTTGGCACCAAACTTTCTGCACGATGCTAACTCAAGGAATTGGATCCTCTATAGATTTCAAGAGGATCAGCCTTCTTTATATGGCCCGTTTATTTAAAGCAATGAATAGTCTTAGGTTTGTTTATAGTGAGACAAACTCTTCTACTTTTATAATTGCAACATAGATTCCATCTCTACGATATCATTTGATTTGTAATCATTTACTATAACATATAATTTCAAGAATGTACCGCATAATCCACCGTATAACGCGCACCTATGTTTCAAGTCTCAAATTTTAATTTTTAGGTATATTCGCCGTATATATATATATAACGCGCAGCTCTTTTTTTACGAAATAACCTGAAATGTACGTGCGCAGCTTTCTTACGTTTTGAAGTAATTTATTCGTGATATTAGCAGTGGTACAACATTCGACTGCAGATCGAGTGGTCCCCGGTTCAAAACCGGGAGTCTTCTTCTTCAGGGAAGTGAAGAGAATTTTTTTTTTTTTTGAGGATTTTGAAGGCAGGAATGATCTATCCCATTCTGTATATTTCTAGACAAAGCATTTTCGTATCCGTTCCTACGGAACGCAAAGCCAAGGTTCTCTGACACTAGGTGTTTAGCTAAGTGGTAGAGCTTTCGACTGCAGATCAGGAGGTTCCCGGTTCAAACTTGGGTACCCCCATTTTCAGGGAAGTGAAGAAAAATAATATTTTTTTGAGAATTTCGAAGGCGGCAATGATTTGTTCCATTCTGTATATTTCTAGACAAAGCATTTTCGTATACGTTCCTACGGAACACAAAGCAAAGGTGCGCTGATGCGGGTGTATAGCTCAGTGGTACAGCATTCGGCTGCAGATCGAGAGGTCTCCGGATTACACCCTGGAGTCCCCTTCTTCAGGGAAGTGAAGAGAAATATTTTTCTGAGAATTTTGAAGGCAGGAATGATTTATCCCGTCCTGTATATTTCTAGACAAAGGAGTTTCGCATCCGTGACGGTGTGCGTCACATCCGTGAGTGTTGTGCGTCACATCCGTGACGGTGTACGCGCGTATTGTAAAAATTTACCCTCATCCTATTTCTCTAACACCCCAAAAGAAATATAACTTCAAAAAATAGTGTACTTCTAGAACTACAATGCTTTGAGCTCATAAGGAATGTCATTCCTTTTGAAGAACCAGTATTTTGATACATTTAAAAGCCAAAATTTTTTCTATGCTCATCTTTTTTTCTTTTTTTTTAAAGCTCTCATTTTGATATCCGGTGTATGAAGCGCACCCATAAATTTTGATTTTACTTTTTTGTGTTAAAAGTGCTCGTTATATGCCGGATTTTACAGTACTTTCAAATCGGCACGAGTAAATATTTTTTAGTACAAGTCGATTACGGTTTTATTACACAGAAACAGAGACAAGCCGTTATAAATGCATATATTTACTCTATATTGCCCATATATACGTATTTCACATTGTATGGAGTAGTAAAAACTATATGTAATATATTATTAGAAAATTTAATCAATGTATAGGAGTAAATTGAATATATTTTTCTGCAACTATTATTTTTTTCCAGTTTAGTTATTCGTCAGTTTTTAGCGAATAAAATGTACCCTTTATAATTGAAATTAGTATTGATTTGCGAAATATAAGAAAACCACTTCCGTTAAACTCTAATTACTAGGAAATACAACAAAACAGAAGAAGGAAAAAGAGATTCATTAATTATTTGCAAATTCAGTATATGCTCCAAAAGTATTAAAAGAGCCAAATTAATTCCTTAAGCGTATACCAAGCATTCCAGAATCAGGTCAAACTATGTTAACTATTTTACCTAATCGAGATTATTTTTTCTGGAATTTTCCTTCAAAGCAAATATTTGTACATCAGCTTTTTTACGACTTCCCACCTAAGCTAAATGTTTGAACTTCGCCGTTAAAAAGATAGTTAGCTTTGCACTAAGTTAGGAAATTTTTGGAAGTTTATAATTCTCTAATTCGGAAGTAATTCATAATATATATATAATTGTTTAATAGTTTATATAACTGTTGTACATGATTTCTAACTGTTCCTTGGTCTTCAGCAACTTAAAAAAGGAAAGGCACTGATTTTCAGTGTTTTTCCTTTCAGTACATTAAACTATTTTGCTAATAGGTATCATTTTATGTTGGTTGGGAACCTTAAAACTGAACAAATTTGATTTTAACTGTCTCACTTTGCTTAATAAATAGGATTGTTGTTGTTGTGTGTTTATTAACCTGGAAACATATGAAATACAAGAGAACAAAAACATACAATACAAACAGGAGAATATACACATTTTTATTACAGATGATGATCCCAGCATATAACAAGAAGGGGTGCGCTGCTTTCCGTTCGAGACGGGAATCTATTTCAGACGAAAGACCGACTTCTTTCCCGAAGAAGATACAACCATGTCTTACTCGGGATTCGAACCCGAACCCACTCGGTTACAAGCCGAGGGTCATAGCCACCGGGCTGGACGACAATAAATAGGATTAATTGTTATATATTTAATTTTTATATTGTCTTTTCAGTAATAATCTGAAATGGTGGACTAGAAGAATTCAGCTTAACGTAATTGACTGCAGTGCCGGTTTAAGCTCATTTCGGGCCCCGGGCGCAAGGTCTACAGGCAATCTCTGGATCAAGTTAAGTTTACCTGGGCTACTGGGTGCCTGTTCCAAGCACGCAGTAAATAAACCTGCTCTGATTGATTAAATGCTATAAAAATTGGAAAATTAATTATTTTAACTAGTAAATAAAACCAATAAATGAATATTAAGAGAAAAGTACGAAATATATAGAACAAAATGACGTCATCGGAAAATGTTTGTTGTAACAAAGGTTGAAGAACCTGCAAAATGTAAAGAGAACATAAATACATAGTAGATTCTGAATAAAAGTTTTAAAAAGATGTGGGCACAGTTTAATTATTGAATAAAATTAAATTATAGTTTAAAAAACTAAAAAAACACGCTTTTATAGTAAATCGAACTAAAAAGTAAAAAAAAATCTTAATATAAGAATAAAATGATTAGCGAGAAAATTAATGTCATTGGGGTAAAAATGTAGGGTGTTATTTATTAATTTTTATAATGTCTTACTAGTTCTATTCCGAAATGCTGAGTTAGTATAAAAATGCAGTACAAAATACCCCACGATTTTACCCCAATGACCTTAATTTTCTCGTTAATCATTTTGTTCTTACATTAAGATTTTTTGTGTTTTACTTTTTAGTTCTATTTACTATAAAAGCGTGTTTTTTAGTTTATTTTTAAACTCAGATTTAGTCAAATTTAGTCAAAAAGCAATGGCATCAAATAAAAAAGTAGATTGGACACAGGTGAGAAGAGAAAGTGGTATATCCTTTGTTAAAATTGCATAACAGGTGCGACTGCATCTGGAGAATGAAAGTTTTGTTTAAGTTGTCAGGAGACAAATTTAATAAAAAAAAAGCAGGAATACACCGAGAAAGGTGCATCTCATCTGTTGATGACATAAGAACTAAAACATTATATCTCAGAGATAAAAGAATTTCATGGACAGCCATCAGAAGTGATCTGATTGATGCTGGTGCTTCTGTCAGTTCAAAAACAATTAGGAGAAGATTAGCAGATGTAAGACTAAAGGATAGAATTCCACAAAAAAAGCCGTATCTCAGTTCACAGCAGCACTAAAAGACTACAGAGAGCAATGGAACACTTTAATTAGACAAATGATTATTAGTTCCAAGTTATATGGAGGGACGAAACTAAAATATCACTATTCGGTAGTGATAGACTAAAATATGTAAGACGTAAAATAGCAGAAATGCTAATTCCTGACTGCATCCAGGTAACTGTGAAGTACCCACATGGTTTTATCATTTAGTCATGCATATCAGCAGATGGTATCGGTCGCCTTCATATCATCGATGGGACACGGAATGTCATAAAATACTTTGACACCATTCTAGAACCCAAGCAATCGCTTTCATCATGGGTTCTATTTACCAACAATGCTTCATTTCTTATTCAGCAAGATTCTTCTCCTTGCCACACAGTAAAATAATTGAATTATTGGTAATGTTCTAAGATCACTGAGTCATTGTCATGGCTAGGAAACAGTCCTGACCTCAATCCTATCGAAAACTTGTGGCACCCTTTGAAAACTCCTATTCGAATGCGGTACCCATGACATAAAAATGAAATGTTTGAGGATATAATTTTTTCCAGCCATTATGTAATAACGAATAAAGAACTTAAAACTGTTTTTAGCTCAATATGAAGCAGTAATAAAAAATAAAGACTACCCCACTAAATTCTGATAACTCATTGCTATCATCAGTATCTAATGTATATCGATAGTTATTGCAGCGTAACTTTCTTACGTTACAAATATATGAATAATGTCCTTTTATTCAAATTTAGTATTAAATGCTCCTTAAAATGATATAAAATACTTTGCATTTTGTAGAACTGAGACATAGCCATCCTGTGATGACCATGTCTTGCCGGTTCCGCGTAAGCTAGAGGTGTGGGATTATCAAAATGATGAGACATAATTCTTAATACAACTTTTATTAAGAGTAACTTATAATACTTAAATTCTAATTTGACAATTATTAATTATAGTGAGAGTCAAGCCCAAATTAAATCACGTATTTAAGTCAGATCACGCAATTAGATCCTCTATCTCAATTATCCTAAATAATCCTGTTTATCTAATTACTTATATCTAATATTACCTTTTCCAGTTCTGGTCCCTTGACCTAGAGAATATAATCTATAACTTTATATATGAAGATTCTTGATCCGTAATGCAGCTAATTCTTGACTGCTTATTCTTGGTCCGCAAGATTTCACACTAAGCTTTGTCACGCTATTGATCAGAATGATTCCACACTACAATCTCTGAGCCTGCTACGCTATGCTATGCTATATCTAGGTTTGCCGCGCTATCCTTTTATAGTATATCTCATTTACATGTTACATTCGTTTATCTTCTTGGTATTGGGTTGGAAAGGTTTTGCCATTAATCGTGGCCGTCAAAGAACATAGGAGTCATGTTAATCAGAAAGGCGCGAGAGACGTCACAACCCCCTCCAAGAAGAAAAACGTGATTTACTTAAGGGTTCTCAATGCCCTTAATAAATTACGTGTCTAAATCTCTATTTCTAAATTTCTTCGCTTTCTGAGTTTTATTTAAATTTTAATCTTAAATCTTCATTTTAACTTTTATAATTTCCAATATCTATCTTGACTTTAATTTTCATTGCAATTTTAATCTTAAATTTTAACTTTTATAATTTCCAAAATTTATCTTGACTTTAATTTTCATTGCAATTTTAATCTTAAATTTTAACTTTTATATTTCCAAAATTTATCTTGACTTTAGTTTTCATTACTCATCTTAGAATTTTAATATTCAATTTAATTTTAAACTCGTGACAATAACAATGCATTTCCCAATAACTAGGCCAACATTAATAATTACTGCTTAAATTTGTGCCCACTCTCACTTTTACATTCCGTTACTTAAAATATTTATACACTTAAAACTATTATTCTGGTGCAAGATCCACCACCGCATATGGAGCTGGTACTTCCTGCTCCCTTCTTAACAACAGCCTGGAAACACGTTGAAGCTTTTATTTTCAAGATTTTCAGGGTCAGTCTCCCTGAAATGAAACTATTTGAGTCTCTATTTCCATAATAATATAATCAATTTACATATTATTTATATATCACAATAAATTTTATCTCCCATCCCTACATCTGGTTTCAACAAAACTCCCAATGAGCCGCGCAGCGCCGTTATTATTATTAGTGCCTTGACTACGCTGCGTTTCCTGAACCACAGATGCCTCTATATAATACGTAACAATACAACAACATATATATATACACATATTATACAATTACAAAACATTTTTCAATAAACCATTATAACAAATAACCAAAGGAATTTTCGCATCTCACGAAGTCATACATCGAAGTAAACAAATGTGTGAATACAAATGTTTTTCTTCAGAAAAAAATTTTTAACAAGTCAAAGTTCAATATTAAATGAACACCTCATTGTAGTGTTTGACTTGGCTTATAACTTTAAGCACCGCCTCGAGACTTCTTTTGCAATAATTCTTCCGACCACTTGTTGGAAGATCATAAAAAAAATGAAACAATACAACCTGATTTTTATATTCGGTCTCCCAAATTCACATTCAACGATGAGGTGTCATCACTCTTCATTCCTTGGTTGTACTGGAATTTCTTGTTGTAAGGCTTGTAATTTCCTTGTCGTCCTTTCCTTGCCTTCCCAACTGTGTTCTTGGCTGGTCGGGGTTCTTCTGTTTTCCGTCGTGGCCTTAAATTATAACTCTTTTCATATGGAACTTCAGTTGATTCTCTTCTTTCTTCTCTTTTTTTTCTATCTCTAGAAATAGTACTAGATGACATTTGTCTTTTATTATTGCTACCATATTACCCTTTTTGCCAATTCTTTGTGGTCCACTTGTCCCCGATACACCTGATCTTTTAATACCTTGGTTATATTTAAACTTTTTATTTTTATTTTCATTCCCTACTGAACTAGGTAGTGATCTGACCAGTGATTTGTTTTTATGGGTCCTCTCTGTATTTTTATATGGATTTGATTACTACCAACTCCTTTGCCTCTAACCTACGTTTCACCGCAGATTTTTTCTTTCCCATATTGTGACTCATTTAACCTTGGTGTACTTTTTTCCGAAGTACGAGTTTCCTTGACTTGATCTTATACTATTTGGGATACCTGTTCTACTTCGACCTCGTCACATTTCCTATGACGATATATTTTATTTGATCTACGTTAACTGTTAATCTTTTTCCTGATTTCCATATTACAATATTATTAAAAGTTCTTAACTTCTAGGACGACTCTATAAGGTCCCCTGCCAAATTTTTGTTTAAATTCTAGCACATACTTTGTTGGGGCAGCTGAACTTTCATACAGGGTGTGTTTAATAAAACCCAATCGTTTACCTTATTTTTATGTCCTTTCTACGTTCATATTATAATATTTTTCCCACCTTCCTGTTTAATTTTCGTACTTTTAGTCTAGCTTTAAAGTTTCTTTTCTGTATATCTTGAATTTGAATTTAGAGCTTTCCGATATCATAACTAGTTTTTTGAAATGGTGTAATCAATTTTCGACCTAAAAAATAACAACTCAGCCGGTGTTTTCCCTGCTGTTTCATTCACTACGTACGAATATGTAAGCAAACTCACGTAAGAACTGATCCCAAGTATCATGTTGATCACAACGTAATTTCATCATTTGCACTATATCTCGATTAACTCTTTTCAGTCCGATTTGCTTGTGGTCGATATAAACAGTCTTCACATGCCTTATGCCTAATCTTTCACTTATGCTCAAAATCCTTGGATATAAATTGGGGACCATTATCACTTATTAATTTTATTGAGCTCCATAACGTGCGATATATAAAGTTATCAAAAAAAAAT